GGAATTTTTTTCTTTTACAAAAATAGCAAGCCATTTATGGAGTCAACCATGGAAGCAGCTCCATCCGCACAAATGCCAATACAATTCTTAGAAAAAACTTTTTTTTTCTTAAAATATATAGACAAAGTATTAAATATATCTATTCCTCTGATTGTCTGTCTAGTAATTCTTTAACTAATCTTGGATGTTGGTTAAATATACTGACTTGTCCACTTAAATTGAAAAATTGCCTTTTTTAGTTTATCGCATAAAATCTCTTCAACATCACGTGACATATCATGTCAACTTACTTCATTTTTCAAAAGTGGAATATTTTCAGTTTTCCTTGCTGCATCTTCTAACTTTTTACCTACTTTAATTTTACATGTGGGTATTGTCAAATTCTCACCAATAGCGCGACTTTTCTTTTTCTGTGCAGTAAACTCTTGTTACAAAATAAGTTGCTTCCTGAGTCTTTTCACTAACTGTGAATATGTTTACAAAAGCTGTGCTCTGGTTATTTTGAGATTTTACAGAGTTTTAAAATAATCAGCAGTTTTATTTTCATATTAGTGGATTTATTGTGAAATGTTCACTTTTGTTAAAGCCATTGATTGCTATATTCAAAAGTTTTTTGCCACAGACGAGACACAACAGAAGAAGAATTCTGCACACCTAATTCACATAAAACACATTGATAAATAACTTTCATTGTAACAACAGACGTTTTTGGCATCTCTTCTTTCTCTATCAGTCTTTTGAAGTTTTATAGATTCTAAATCTTCATCACTAGTCTTTTCAGAAGTGCATAGACTCTAACTACTACGGATTCTCCGTAGTTTCTACGGAAATTCATGAAAAACTACGAGCTACGAAAAGTATGGAAAAAACTACAGATTTTACAGAAACAAGAGCAGGAGAACCAGTACGCAAAACGGAACCAACTAATTCATCCGATGATTGGCTGAATACTCGTGTTATCATATATCACGTGTTGAGTGCGTTCCTAGTTTTGAAGAATTAGCCGATCGTAGATCAGTAACTCCAACCGTTAACGACTTATCAATAGTTCCACCCAATTGTCTGTCTCCCAGGTTCCATCGCTGATGCGTGTTTAGGCTGCATTCGGCTGCATTGTTGTAGATTATGGCGAGAGCTAGCGTAGCATGTCTTGTGAACTGTGAATCAGGTGAAAGTTTTTTAATCATAATGCTACCTCGAACGAAGAAGCCAAAATTATCAAAGCAAAGAAGTTTAAAGATTCATATTCTTCAGAAGTTTCCATGCATTAAAGCATCCGGAAATTTCTGTGAATCACGCACACTGCAGTGTATGCAATAAAGACTTCTCAGTTGCTCATGGCGGAAAAAGATGACTGTAAACGGACATGTTTGTTCTCAAAAGCATATAGAACTTGGCACCGTAAAATCTAAAGAAATAACAAATTTCTTAATAAAAGATGATGAAACAGATCCTATAAAAGCCGAATGCTATTTTGTTCGTTTTTTAATTGAACATAATCTACCGCTTTCTGTTTCGGATCATTCCAAAGAGCTTTTCAAAGCAATGTTTCCGGATTCTGCCATAGCAAAAAATTTAGCTGCAGTCATACCAAAACTGCTGCTATTGTGAAAACGCTTGCAGAAAATACTGTTGCTGATATTATAAAATCAGTGTGCAGTACATCATTTTCTCTAAGTACTGATGGAAGTAATGATAACAATGATAACAAACTGTACCCATTGGTTATAACATACTACAGTAAAGAAAAGGGAGTGATAATTACTTCATTGATTTCTATTTTAGAATGCACGAATAATACAGGAGAAGGTATTTTTAATTGTATAAATGAAAACTTTAAAAACAAAGGTTTAGAATGGAAAAATTGCTTATCATTTTCTTCAGATAATGCTAGTAATATGATTGGAAAGTTTAAAGGTGTAGCATCATTTATCAAAATGCATCAACCAAGTATAATCACCCGAGGTTGTCGGTTGTCCGTGCCACCTCTTGCATATAGCGTCAAAAAAAGCTACTGAAAAATTAATTGGCTCAGAAATTGAAATGTTGATAATACATATATATTTTTACTTGGAGAAAAGTTCGAAACGGAAGCATAGCTTCAAAGTTGCTCAACAAATTTTGGGACAGAATGCAAAATCTCATAAAATTTTGAAATATTGCAGTACGAGATGGTTGTCTCTTTTAGAATCTATAACAAGGATTTTGGAACAGTGGGATGCTGTGATAAATTTTTTTTGGAGATAAACCAGATAACAGTGAGAATGAAGGAAAGAGATTGCAAAACATTAAAAAAATTTTACAGTCACCGACCACCAAATTGTACTTGTTATTTTTGAAAAATACTTTGCCTTTGTTTATAACAGTAAATATTAATTTGCAACAACAAGCTCCTTATATACATAAATTGAGAAGAGAACTTTTTGTTAGATTCGTAAAACCATCAGTAATTTCTAAAGAAAATGAAGATGTTACTCTAACGTCTATTCCATTTCAGAAGTATAGTAAACAAAAAGAAAATGAAAATTTAGTGATTGGTGCGGAAACAAGACTATATGTAAAAAATGCCAAGTTGAATGAAAGTGAAGTGAAATCATTTTTCAATTCTCTTCTGTGCGAGCTTTTTTTGTAACTGCATGTTCATATATAAGTTGATAAATTTCCACTGAGTGATCCATTTCTAAAACATGCTCAAAGTTGCTGACATCAACTTGAGTAACTGAAGTTCTCATTTTCATCTGTTCTTTCCTTGATGAATACTTTTCCCATCCTATTATTGATGAAAAATGTCTTAATCAAGTAGAAATTGAAGTTTTCCATGTATCAAAGTAGATGATTTGAAAGAAATTGTAGATTTGCGTATTGATATAGCATGAGGAGAAATTGCCAAATTAAAAAAATATGAATGGGTGTATTAAATACAAAGTATTCACCTATTGTTGTAATGCTTACTGTCTTAATAATACCTCATTCAAATGCAGTTTATAAAAGAATTTGTTTCTATTGTTAAAAAAAAATCATCAGACGGAATTTCGACCAAATTTAGGTCTTAAAACTCTGAAGCAGTTATTGATTGAACTAATAAATATGCAGGTAAATGAAGAACTGTGTTATAAAAAAACATTCTCAAAATCAGAACTTTAAGCTTGCTAAGCATGCTACATATAAATCTTTGCATTCATAATTTATAAATAAATTATGCGTATTTTGTTTAATACTTATATGTAACATTCTTGATTATTTAAATTTTATTTCCCTGTAGAAATCATATCCAGAATAAAGATATGATTTATAGCTTCTGATTTTTTCTATGATTAGTAGTGATTTGAAGTACTTTTTATTAGTGAATGCTTGAGGAGTTAAAAGAAAATTTCTAATTAAATGTGCATATAATTTACAAGGTATATTTTTAATTATTCAGTTTTATATGTATATGGATTTTAAATGTAATAAAATTGATTACAATTAATTATTAATTTAAAATTAATGAATGGTTAATTACAACATACGCTACGCGCACATTTTCAAAGTTGTAAAAATGTCGTTCGTGCGTTGACTACTGACAAGGTTTGCTGAAGGTTGGAGTCTATGGAAGTGTCTGGGATGTTTTTCTTTAATCATCACCATGTTTATTCTATAAAATCTATAGAATTAAAAAATGAGAAACAAAATAAAATAGTAAAAAAAGTAATAAAAAAAATCTGAAAGGTTTCAGATTTTAAATTACGTCTAAAGGGGCATTTTTTTAATGTTTTGTGTGTTACCTTTATTAAATATCATGTTCTTTGCACTTAAACCATAAAATCCAGTTCAATAACAATGTTGCAAAATAATTTTAAAATGAGCATATCTTTAGAATTTCCGATACACAGTTCTGCAATTGGCAATAAAAAGGTCCCCCCGTAGAGTGTTGCCATTGCTCGTTTTTAAATCGTTGAGTTTGTTACTCAAAAATTTGTTAAAGCTTTACAAAATATACTGGTTCTGTTGTTTTATCACAGTGCGAGAAACATGCATATGTTTATGCAGATTCTTCTTTATTTAATTTCTTCAAATATAATACAGGGCTATAATATTTGGTGGCAACGAATTGAAAAATGATACAGCCTTTTAAAGTTTTCAATGCAAAATTACTAAACAAAAACAGTAGTCCTTCAGGGGCAAAGCCCTTTGAACTAAAAATTGGTAAAGTAAACTAAATGATAGTAAAATAAAAAATATGCACTAGCACTCTGTTTAAACAACCACACGATCCTATGCTTCTTGCATCACTAATGCATACACACTCACACTAGATTCTAGACTGACAATTGAAAAGCTGCTGTTGGCTTAGTTGGAGTTACTTTTTTGCATACATAGCCTTGTGTGGCATGTCAATGTACAGTTTAACGAAAATTGCTAAACAATAAGTTTATAACCTTTTTTTTTTTTTTTTTTACATTTGATTTGGTGACACAAGTAACAAAGAAATTTATACAACTGTTGATGGCATCTGACGAATGTAACAGAGCATAGCCAAACACCTAAAGGCAGTTTTTGAATTATCATTGGCTAGACTTTGGTCTGTCACAGTCTTACCCGCTTCTTCCACCAAAGTTACCTGAATAAAGTACCAAATCAGGAGAAAAGCAGTTTTTTGATGTAGTGTGTTATTTCCTTATTTCTTGCATAACCCTTAACATTTCGTGGAACCATGGTTGGGGAATGCTGCATTAGAGTAATAAGTTTTATTAATGTATGCTGTAGTGAAATATTGTTTCAAAGATAGTGATTATTTAATGTTTACATGGTTTTTAAATTTCATTAAACTTGCATAAGGAATATTCAAGTTATATTTCATAAGCATAGCATATTGAACGCTTCAGAGCTTAAAATATTAAAATCATTTATAGATCGAACTTTTTCAGCTATCATCTGATGATTCTGAATAAAGGTTATGGCTGATCCAAGATCTTTATTTGATCTACTATATGTACTAAAGTCTTTTTTTTCCCCTGTAGTTGACCGCCATCCGGACACATCACGACTCAAGGTAAAAAAAATTTTTTTTATTCTTTTCATGGTTCTTTTTCTTGTTAGTAACTCTGATCTCTGTATTAATTTCTTTAATAATTTATCTCATCAATTTCCATTACACAGAACAATATATATTTCTTTTAGGGTAGTGATTTAAGTCAAGTTATAAAACTTAACTCTGGAGCATTGAATGATAGACCTGCTAATTCCACATCAGGAATGAATCCTCTACTGTCCATGTTGAGATGTGTAAGTTAAACTTATAATATGAATGTAATAATTTTTCTTGTATTAAATATGTGCATTAAATATGTTATGTGTATTGCATCATATATAAGTGTTATTATACACTTACTGTTATATTTATGTAAGAATTATATATTTTTTATACATTTATGAAACTAAACATGTGGGTTTGTAAGAATATAAAGAATGAATAAGTACATTACTTAACATAACTACATAACTGCTTAAATCACTTTAGTATATTGAATTGATGAGCATCAAATTTTTCATTACCAGGCCATGTATTCAAATAATGCTATTTCAAAGTCATATGATGAAATTACTGTACTTGGGTATTAATATCATCATTTGGTCATATACTGGTAATGATACAAGTTATTTCTTGTTTTCTGATGTTGTACCCTAAGAACTGTTCCATTATTTTGATACTCTTCTATTATCCGGTCCAGATTCAGAAATATATTATATGCATATACACTGCCCCCCCCAAAAAAAGGGGGGAACAGTTCTATATCTCCTGTTCTACTAGGCCAATTGACGGAATTCAAATTTCATTTTTCATGTCTCAAAAGCGCGACTTGAGATATATGTTAAGAGTTATATATAGCATTATTCTAACATAGGTATTTTCATACAAAATCAAACTTTTTCTGAAGTGATATGCCAATTTTTTTCCATATTTGATTTTGTAATTTTTGATGAGAAATTTATGGAGGAATTTAAAACTTTATCTTGGACATGGCGAACATATAGCAACCTATTTTCCTTTGCCTTTTTTGCGCACAAGTGGGGAAAAGTCATCGTTCATACTTTTAAATAATTTTAACAAAGTGCGTACACCACATTTTTATTATTATTGCTTATAATAAATACACCAAATTTCAAAATGTGCCAAAATAGAAATTCAGTTATATCTTAGGAAATTTCAAATAAAAAACTCTAATTTTTTGCAGATATGCTTAGAAATTCATCTACTTTAAGGTGACAGTAAACATTTTATAGGTTATAATACAAAAAGTCTTTAGAAAAATTTATAAAAATTATTTAATAATACGAATTTAAAAAATAAATCATAAAAAATTGGCGAATTTTATTTGGAATGAACCTAAATTTTGAAATATGAAAGAGAGAATAAAATAAGTTTAATAAAAAAAAGAGAATTAATAAATATGTATCAAATTCAATTAACATTAAAAAGCTAAAATTTTCAGCATGAATTTTTAAAAACTACTTGTGCAATTTTTACAAAACTTGGCAGTTTGGCATAATTCGAGTCGTATATTAGAGAAATGCTATATATAAATCTAATATATATCCGAAGTCGCGCTTTTGAGGCATGAAAAACGCAATTTGAATTTCGTCAATCAGCCCAGTAAAACGGGAGATATAGAACTGTCCTTTTTTTTTTGGTACACATGGATGTATGTTTTCATGTTATGTATATATATATATATATATATATACATATATATGCACATACATACATACATACACGCTGAGAATAACTATAAATGCTCTCACAATATTGGTTTCTGCTTTCTTCGGCTTCTGAAAATACGCTATTTTTTTTCAGCAAATACTGTTTTATAGCATTTTATTTTGTGGTATTTTGAAGCTAATTGTGTTTCGCTTGTGATTTTATATCACACTTCATGTTTCTGAGACTATTTGACAAACTTATGGATGTTTGCATTTTTGTGTGTTTATGTGGCTCGTCGTGCTTTGGCTTCAGTTTTTGGATTACTATTTCTATGATATAAAAGGTCTGAAATGATCATCAAACTGTAAGTACGTTTGATTTCTACATTATTCTGCTATTTTAAAAAATTGTACTGATTGGATAATGTCTTTACAAATTTGTCAAGAAATTCAGACAGAGCCGGTTGACTCTACTGCTGCTATACTAGCTGTAGAGTCAACTATCTACTGCTATATTAGCAGATGGACTAACAATTTCAAGTTCTTTAGAAACTGTATTAGACTCAAGTAGAGTCACAAATATTTCAAAAGGAAAAATTATTTCTTTAGCATATTAAATTTACAATTTATTGGTTACACAAAATTTTGTTAATGCCATCCTTAAGGGAAGGCTTGAAGAGCAAACAAAAAAGTTATAAAATCTTCAGCCACTTTCATTTGCAGCAGTGACAGATCCAAAACGTTTTTCTCGGAAAATAATACAGAAAATATGAGATTAATCTACAAGTAGAAATAGGTCCGAAGAATTCACAGTTCTACTCTATCCAAAAAAGGAAGGATCTACTTCCGAGGAGGTCAAAAACAGAATTGTAAACTCAATTAATCCCACCCAATTACACATTGGTGTTAAAAGACAAGAAAAGAAAAGGAGGTGTTCTAACAGAATGTTCCAAAGCCTCTGATATTGAAGCCTTGGAAACAGAGGTTAAAACAAATGATTTGCTTAGAAATGATATGGTAATTCAACATCCTATTAAGAAAGATCCAAAAATTATTATTATGATGTAGATTCTGATCTTTCTTGAGATGATCTTAAGATTATGATTAGAGACCAAAATATGGTCTTTGAAAATGGTGTTTTCAACTTAAAATTTTCGATAAAAGGTACCAAAATACATTGGATGGCCAGTGTAGATGCTAAGAAGTATAGAGAACTTATAAAAGCAGGAAAACTTAACATAAGATGGTCTCGTCTTAGAATTAAAGAATTTTTGAAAGTAACTCAATGTTTTAAATGTTCAAGTATGGAAACTTCCAGACAAAATGCCTAGAACCGCAAATATGTGCTAAATGTGGTGAAGTTGGACATAAACATTGGGAGTGTAAAGCTACTCCAAAATGTATTAATTGCAAAGATGTAAATGAAAAGTATAAATTGAAGCTTAGTGTTGATCATTCTAGCTTAGATAAAAATTGTCATTGTCACAAACAGCAAATGGATCTTTTAATCAGTCGTACTAATTATGGCTAATAGAAGTGACGGAGACTTCTACATGTTTCAAATAAATTTACATCACGCCAAAGCTGCTGTAAATAAACCATATATTAAAGCTATTGGAAGAAGCTATAAAATAGCCTGGATTCAAGAACCTTATATATTGGATAATAAAGTTCGGGAAATCCTGATAAAATTTCGAACTTTTTGTGACAAAAATTATTCACGAATAACAGTTGTTCTGTTTGACAGCTCTCCACCAATGCTTTTGTATGCTTCCTTGAATATAGTGGAAGTCAAAATGATCATTAATAATAGAAACATAGTTTTTGTTTCAGTGTATTGCCCCCTAATGACGCCTCGAATGACTATTTATATTGTATTAACAGTACTATTGATTCACGTGAAGACTCAGAAATAATTATTTGTGAAGATTTCAATGCTAAAAGTCCCCTATGGGGTCCTTATGAACACTCAATAGATCCAAAAAGTGATGCTATAATTAAATTTGCACGACAAACAATTTGAATGTTCTTAATAGTCCTGATAGCCCGGCTACGTTTTCTGGTGCCAGAGGCGAAAGCTGAATAGACCTTACCATTGTGAGATCTTCTTTTGTCCTGAATTGGTCTGCTTCTATGGATATTTCACCTAGAGATCATCACTACATTGAGATTGGATTTTTAAACAACTTACTTAGAGAGAAAAAATTTGAACGTTTCTATATTTGGAATTCAAATTGGCTAAATTTTCGTACAGGAACTGTATAACTTTATAAATCAAGTTTCCGAAGAAAATTAGAAAATACTTCTGATTTAAATATTTATATTAAAGATCTTACTAACTCAGTAGTGGATATCTGTAAAAAAATTAAGAAGATGAGCAAATTTAAACAGAGCAACGCTCTGGGTAAACAGGTGCATTGGTGCTCTGAAAAAGTGGCTGTTTTAAGAAGTGAAGCTCGACTGTATCGAAGAAAATTTCAGAGATGTTACAATCATATAGACAATAATTTGTTAAAGATTTAATATAAGAAGAAATTAGCTGAATATAAACGAGAAATCAACATTAGTAAAAATTGTGCTTGGGAACAACTATGTGACACTTTGAAAAATTCATCAACCATTTCTTACTTTATTGATGTTAATAAATATAAACCAGCTGTACAAATTGCCTCTTTGAAATATCAAGATGGGTCTCATATCTATCTTATAATAATAAAAGCAAGTGTAATGTGTCTGTCTGTCTGTCTGACCGAGCTCTCCAGCCAAATCTATCGCACGCAGGGACCTGGAATTTTTTTTATACGGAAGCACAAAGGGGCTGGCCACCAGACCTCGAAGCCCGATTTTCGATTTTTTTTGAATTAGAAAAATTAAAAAAAAATTATTTATAATTAATTAAATCACGGTTTTTTTGACTCACTGATATTATTATTGTTTTTTCAAATAACGTTCGATTGTAACAAATTGATTTCTTTCTTTATTCTAGCGTTAGTTTGCTGTTTTGACGATACATTAAATCGATTAATTACAATTACAATTCTTTCTTTTTTGTAGCTTGTGGGGGGGGGGAAGAGAGAGAGACAGTCTACATGTCCTACACTACTATTCCTGCGCTATTCACTTATCTGCATTTTCTAAATGCACGGGCAACGCCGGGTGGGTACACCTAGTTAAGAATATAGACGAGACAGTAAATTACCTCCTATAATATCACTTTCCTTGTGATACTACTTATGGTGATGTATCATGTCATCATCAAGTTAGATCAGATTGTAGGATACCTCCAGAGACCATAAATGATTATGATTTTACTTTGGATGAAGTGAAATTTACTCTTAAAAGTTAAATAAAGGTAAAGCTCATGGTAAAGATGGCCTGACGATGGATATTATTTTAGAAATCTTTGAATGTAATAAAAAGTTATTTGTAGCTATTCTGAAAGAATGTCCTCAGAGGGGAATTTCCCTGAATGTTGGAAAGAGGCTGATTTGGTTTTGTTCAAAAAAGAAAGAAAGGATAAAGAAGATCCTTCCTCTTTTCACCCCATTTGCTTACTGCCTTCCTGGGGCAAGGTGCTGGATAAA